TTTGCCTCAATAGGTAAGCCATACTATTATTAAGGGGGATTGTGCATTGATGTCTAGGAATGAGTTAGGAGCTCAATTTTTTTTTGGAAGTCGTTCTCATTCGTTATGTTTTCTCTACTGGAAATTTCGGACTTGTCCGAAAGAGATTTTTGGAATTTCCGAAAATGACTATGTACTTGAGATTCGGTACTAAAAATTTTCGGACTTGTCCGAAAGTAATTTTTGAAATTTCCAAAAATAACTATGTGATGAAACTCAGTACTGATCGTTTTTAGATAGATCCGAAATGGCTTTCGGAATTTCCAAAAATGTTTGCACACTGAATTTTGGTACTGGTCATTTTCGGGTCTGAAAATGGCTTTCAGAATTTCCTAAAATGTCTGCGCATTGGATTGGCACTGGTCATTTTTGGACAGGAATTCCGAAAGTGAGTTTATGCCCCTGTTGATTCTCGGATTTCTCCGAAGTGGCGCAATGTGAAAATTGGTATGGGTGTTTTTCGGACTTGTCAAAAAAATGTTTTTGATGTTTTTGAAATTTCCGAAAAAGGGAACCTTTGCCTCCAATGGACAGATATGAGGTTGCGTCTATAAATAGCCTCCTCCCCCTCCAAGTCAAGGTGCTCTTATTGAACATTTCGTGCCCTTTGACTTGCAACACTTTGAGACCCACTTTGGAGGCTTGCTTGCTTGATTCCCTTCTCCACCGATCTTCAAGTTTGGATTTCGTGTGTGTGTGTTAGTTGTGGTTTTGAGTTTGTGTGAGTGCTTGGTGTTGATTTCGTGAAGATTTGTGAGCACTTGATTCATCCCCAAGATATCCTTGCATCATCTCTTACTCTTAGAGGTTGAGAACTTCTAGACGATTAGGTGTCACTCTTGAGCCACCGATGCACTTGTGGTTGGCTAGGAGAAGTTTGTGAAGGTCATATCTTATTTTCGAAAGGAAAAGATATATCACTTGGAAGAGGGGTGCATTTGTGCAACTTCAAGAAGAAAGGGTTTGCAAAAACCTGACTTATTGTGAGCTCCTCAACGGAGACTAGAATCTCCTCAAGTATTCAAACTTCAAGAACATCTCATCTTGCAAGAACCTCGACGATATCCTTCTCTTCCTTCTCTAGCTTTACTTACTTGTGCCGGTTTGCTAGATCTAGTTTACTTTGCACATTCCGTTTGCTCTACGACTATTGAATTTTCCGGAAAGCATTTTTTAAAAAGGACTGCTTCCGTATTTACTTAAGTATTAAATTAGTCTATTCACCCTCCTTATAGGCCTACGTGACTCCAGAAGTACCATGGCATTTGCTAAACATTTTTTTACCATAGTTATTTAACTTTATAAAATATAAACTCCCGCACAAGTTGTTTCTTAAAATAAACTTCTAGCCCATGCTATGACCAATTGACCATCAATGATGTGCCAAGCTACTACTAGCTAGTGTAGTGTTATATTCCCTTTGCTTTATACAGTAGCAATAGTGATTTGCCAAATAATAGCGTGTAACTCCTATGTTCACTCGCATCATGGCCAGAAGTTTAAGTGCAAAATAAGGTTTGAAAACTATTTGTTTTTGAAAGGGTCAATTAGACCTAGAGAGGGATGAATGGGCTAATTTAAAAACTTCAGTAAAGCGGAAGCATGAATTTTCGGAACTAAGCAGGAATTTTCAGAACTTCCAAAAATACTCAGAGCAATCGAACACAAAAGGATAAATTTAGATCTAGAAGTCTACAACAGGATTAACAAGGCACAAACAGTAACTAGACCAATAGCGGCACAAGCAAACAAAGCTAGTGGAGAGGGATGAAGAAATATCACCAAGATGAAGCTCGCAAAGTTGTTCCCGGAGTTCAAATCCTTGAGGGGATTCTACTTTCCGTTGAGGAGCTCACTAAAAGCTGGGTCTAAGCTAACCCTTTCCTTAAGAGGTTGCACTAAGCACTCCTCCTTCCACTAAGAGGTATCTCTTTCCATGCGGAGGCAAGATCCGGCCTTCACAAACTTCTCCCAGCCAACCACACGTAGATCGGTGGATCGGGAGCGACACCTAGCCGTCTGGGAGTCCTCAACCTCCAAGAGTAAAAGATGATGCAAGGAACTCCCGGAGATGATGCAAGTGCTCACAAATCTTCACGAAGACCGCAAGAAGCACCCACACAAACTCGAATCCACACTCTCACACACATCAAATCCGAATCAAACACGGGTGGAGTGATGAATTGAGAAGGAAAGGCTCAAAAGACTTGGAGAGAGAAGCAAGCCAAGGGCACACAAATTTGCAATGGAACCAGCAGCCCTCACAAGTGAGGGGAGGTGGGTATTTATACCCACAGCACAAATCTGCCCGTTGGAGTGCAATAAAAGTAATTTTCGGAACTTCCAAAAATTCCAGATCTGAGAAAATCGAAGTCAACACCCATTTTTGGAACTTCCAAAAATTCTTTTTGGATATTTCTGAAAATATCCAGAACCCCAAATACCTTATGTAGATTTTCGGAACTTCCAAAAAATATTTTCGAAAACTTCCAAAAATTTCCAGAAGCATATTTGGCTCGTAGACATTTTCGGAACTTCTGAAAATTTCCAGAAGGTTGAAATCGGTTCTGTGTATTTTCAAAAACTTTCGAAAATTTCCAAAACACACCCAATAGAGAAATGCTTCCAAGAAAAATAGATTTTGAGCACACGCATCACTCCTTATATGTCTATGCATCACCCCCTTAATAGTACGGCTTTCGTATGACTCAATGTAAGGTAAAAGATACACTATAGAGTAAATTGCATTGATGGTATACAAACTTATTAGGTGGGTGCAATTTAGTACATAAACTTGTAAAATGCTCATTTCAGTACACGAACTTGTCTAGTTCGTGCGAACGAGGACCAAAATAACTTGGCAATGTTAATTTATGATGTTGATTAGGATGTGACGTGCATACGTATAGTATAGTGAGTATGCATAAGACATGTAATATTTATAAATTTCGTCTTAGCTTTATCCTTCACAATGGAAATAACGAATCTCATATGTTTCTAACCCTTATATCAGTGCTAAGTTTTTTTAATCTTTCTGATTTTTATTGAATAGGTATGTCTAATGGCAACTTTCTCACATATATGTTTACATAGTATCCTAATAGCCCCTAAATTAGCCATGTAGTGTCCTTTTCGGCTTCCTCCGTACGCACCTAGACAAGTTCATGCACTAAAATAAGCATTTTACAAGTTCGTGCACTAGATTGCACCCACCTGACAAGTTCATGTACCGGCGATGCAATTTACTCTATAATATACCATTTGATCATTGCCATATTGCATCGTGACATCGCATTCAAATGGGATATGCATCACCTTACAACATGTCGAGGATGTAACAACCTTCACATTTACTTGAATAGAAAAGTTAGTCCTCTCTAATCGCGTTGTAATCAATCATTAAAATCATTAGGGGCCTAGGTACACTTTCAGTTTTAAAACTATATCAATAATAGTTTTGAAATCAATAAAAAAAACTCCCTCATGTTTTTAATAGATAACATCTCTGGTTTTAAATAGATGCGCCATTGAAAAAAGAAATGCATATTGTCATTTTTCTTGTGTTTTTCATTTGTGAGCGGGCAACAATTTAATTTTTGTGATTGTCGTACATCGCCCTGCCCAATTGTAAACGTTTCAGGAATATTTCTTTTAATTACATATGATGGTTTCTCTGGTGAAAAATAAATACTCCTTTCATCCTAGAATATAGGAGCCATACCCGATGTCCAGATTCAACGTTCCATCTGGTTTTAGGTTGCTATATTCTGGGATAGAGGAGTATATCATTATGGAGCTACACGCCAAGGTCAACACATGCCGTGTTTAGTTGTTTTGGCAAAAAAAAAATTTACATATACGGACACACATTTGAAGTATTAAATGTAGACTAATAACAAAACAAATTACAGATTCCGCCTGTAAATTGCGAGACGAATCTATTAAGCCTAATTAATCCGTTATTAGCAAATATTTACTGTAGCAACACATTGTCAAATCATGGCGTAATTAGGCTCAAAAGATTCGTCTCGCAATTTACATGCAAACTATACAATTGGTTTTTTCCGTCCATATCTAATGCTCCATGCATATATCCAAACATTTGATGTGATGGAAAAGTTAGAAGTTTGAAGGGAACTAAACATAACCACAATTCAATTTAACCTAGAAAGTTCCAAGGACATTTTAGACCTTTCCATTTCTCTTCTTCTTAGCTAAATAATACTCCCTCCGTTTTAGAGTATAGCAACCATACCCCCTGCCCAGATTCATAGTTCTAGAATACGTCCCATCAGGTTTTAGGTTGCTATATTATGAAGTATACCATTATGGGGCTATACGCCAAGGTTAACACAATTCAATTTAACCCAAAAAGTTCCAAGGAAATTTTAGACCTTTCCATTTCTCTTCTTCTTAGCTAAATAATAATAAAAATAGCAAGTGCATTGTCCAACAACAAATAACCACATATTTTGATAATATCTCTACCCAAATACTATAAACTTATGTGGTGTCCAACAACTAAAATGAATAAGTAGAGTAGGAATGTTAACTTCTCCTCCGTCCTAAAATAAGTCAGGTTATTTTTCAGTCATTCTACATATACCAATACAACAATAATACCCCTATTTTAACTACCCCCAATACAACTTTTTTCTACTTTCACAATCTCTAATTTAACAAAAACTAAACTTATTTTGGAAAGAACTTAATATAGAATGGAGGGAGTAGCAAATTTTACCCGTCTTATAATTTTACATCACATAAAAACCATAATAAGATTTTATATAATCTCCTCCCATAAGAATGTTTTTTTTGGGTAATTCCGCTGACCATAGGATGTAAAGGAAAAATTTTTAAAGTTATACTTCTACATCATTAATTTGTTTGACCATACGACAGACAGGCAATCCCTCCTTCTTTAGTTGTTGTTTTTTAAATGCAAAAAGACGGTCACACATCCTTTTCTTCCCCGTGAACCACCCTCCGGCGTTTTGCCCGGCTGCACGTCTCCATCCTTGTTTCCGCCCCCACTCCGCTTCCTTCCATTCTCCCTACTCTCTTCTCCTGCCTCCTCCGCCCAATCTTCCTCCTCCCTTTCCCATCCTGCCTCAAAGATAGGTTCTTGACGGGGGAAGGAAAGCTGCTCGCCTCCGCTGCACAGCTCGTCTGCTCGCCTGGTGAGGAAAAATCCCTCTTTTTTCTTTTTCTTTTTTTTTTCAAGAACCCATGTAGGTGTAGTTCTTTGTTACTGCTTACTACTAGTCCTGAAGGAATGTGTCTGTCTTGTCGAGGGATGCGGTATTGTAAGCCGGTTTAGAGGTATCGCTCTTGGTTTGTACTATCTATTTTTCACTTGCCGTAGAAGCTGCAGAAAAAATGGTACTTTTTGTTGGGGGTGTGATGACTGATGATGGGGTTGGCCGGAGATGTTCCCGAGATTGCCAAGCCCTTTTTTTACTTCTTCTTCTTCTTGTGCTTGTTTGTAGTGGAGTAGTAATTTGTAGCTAGCTAGCTTTGTTTCGTGGAATTACCCCCCCCCCTCCAAGGCTGAACCCATTTGGGCATTTCTTAAATTTAGTTGTGGTTTTTTTTATTGTCAATTTCGTCACCCCTTAGTTTGAACTGCTCCTTCTCCACCTACTACATGATCTTGACTTTAACGATGCAACCTCTGTTGGAAAATTGAGCTGTCTGAACCATTTCAAAGCATTTAATTTCATATAGCAAATCCACGTCATGCTGATTCAGATGCAACTTTCAGTTTCTTGGTAAAATTTCAGGATCAGTTTTGTATTCGTAGGCATCTTAATTTCAAAACATTTATGAGATTTCCCACCCTTGGGCTATTGAGTCCCCCTTTTGTTAGGAAACAGTCTTGTCCTTCCATAAAGCAAAATTGTTAGTTTTGACTATTCAGAACACTCCTTTAGTTCATAGGCTTTGTCCTCTGCCATTGTGTACTTGTTGAGGAACTACCCTCTCTTCTTCCTCCTGGTGTTAGAGGTGATAATTTTTGGGAGGATTCAGTCATTTCGCTAGTGCTAATTCCTTCAAAATCTATAGTAAATTAAACTATTGAACTTCCTTTTCTTTTTGGTTGTCCATCCTTATTGGGCATCTTGTTTTGCTGACTTATTTTCCCATTAGAAGCTACGATCTCATAAAATTCCATTTTAATTCTGTGAGATGAAGTCTTATGGATGATATTTTCTAAAATGAATAATTCTTATCTTCGATAAAAAAAATGACTTGCTTTTTGTGGAGCTGTAATGGTTTTTAAAATTGTCCACTTTCAGTATCACATTGTAAACTTCACTTTAACAAACTATTCCATGCAGGAAGCACGGAAATTATGTCTCATTAAAGGGAATCCAGGGTATGGTGTTGAGCTGTCTGGGCTCCATGTCTAAGTGGGAACCAGTCACATTTGAGGAATCTCTTTGCTTTGTCAAGAAAGTTAAGGTGATAAAATTTTTCAAGATTCCTTCTCCAGTTTTCACTCATTTCTGTAGATTACATGTTGTATTTCTTTCACAAGTCATAACAGTTACAGCAATCCGTAAGATGGGTGGAGAAACACCAGTTTCATAGTCAATACATCTGCCAAAATCTCTTCAGTGTGATGGACAGTTCATCATCTGGAGTGCATAGCAAGAAATTTCCTTTCACTCATTTTCAATCATTAGGTGAACTGTTTATCTTGGCTAGTTGTCAGCAATCAATTGAAACCGGAGATGCTTCCATTTCTTAAAAGAAAAAGTTGACAGCAATCATTCGATGATTTGGATCTGAAGCACAAATATTTGATGAAACTGATTGAGCCTACCCCTGTGACAAAAGAATCATTATTTGTTTCGCTGTTTCATCTCCTTCCTTCCAGCTAGTATTAAATTGGCAAATTATATATTTTATCTTGCCTTTAGCATGATAGGTCATGTGCTATATGTTCCTTCATGTGATTTAATTTTTGTGATATATATCTTCTTATATTGTTGTATCATTAGTCCTGATAGCTCTTTACTATCATTTTCTGTTTTCTAGGTTGTAATGTTTTGCATGTAGAGGCCTGTTTGACTCTCCAACTTGGTTTAGCTTTTTAGCAGCACGTAAAACGAGATAAACCATTAGCACATGAATAATTGAGTATTAATTATTACAAACTTCAAAGAGATAATCCAAGAAATGCCATTGACAAGCGTTCAAATCCCAGAAATGCCATCGACAAGTGTGAGTTCCAAGAAATGCCATCGTACAAACGACTTTGTCCCAAAAATGACATCGCCGTTAGGGTTCCGTTCATTCCGCGCCGTTAAGTTCTATAAGATGAACAGTGTATTGTACAAACGACTTTGTCCCAAAAATGCCATCGCCGTTAGGGTTCCATCCATTCCGCGCCGTTAAGTTCTATAAGATGAACAGTGTATTTAACGGCGTAAAATGAACGGAACCCTAACGGCGATGTCATTTTTGGGACAAAGTCGTTTGTACGATGGCATTTCTTGGAACTCACACTTGTCGATGGCATTTCTAGGACTTGGACGCTTGTTAATGGCATTTCTTGGATTATCTCAACTTGAAAAATGGGTTTATTTGATTTTTAAAAGAAACTTTTATATAAAATTTTTTGTAGAAAATGCACCATTAACAATTTGAAAAGCGTGCTAACGGAAAAGCTAAAGGAAAACGAGGAAGTTGTAGTTTGGAGTCGAAGAAAAGAACGAGGCACATTTTAGGTTGTAACGTTTTGCACTTGGTTAGCTGTCAGCATGATCTAGGCAGGCTAGTACTACTACTGATCCATGCTTTTCCTGGAAGGAGTACAGAAAATCCAAGGCAAATATAGTTATTACAACAGATTGGAACATCTGTGATTTAAGTTGGGAAACGAAATATCTGAACTATTAAAAAATTGAAGTCATGAACATTTAGGAAATTTCTTTACTTTTTCAAGACATAAATATTGAATCTCCTCAGTAACTCCTATATGGGATACAGCAGCAATGCACAGTAATAAAAAAAACCAAAGCTAAAGTATTTAGAATGATATTGAGCATATTAACCTGTAGTAAAATTGTTTTATATATTATAGTAAGCTATTGACCCACTAAAGGGATACAATGTTTGCTCAGTCTCTGCTGAAATGAATATTGCAGTGATTCTTGTTATTGAATTGTGTTGTTTATGCAGGCTCGTGATTATGTGTTGTACTTGTCGCTGCTTGATGTGCTCAGTCGAAATGAGCAGATCCCTCTGGAAGCTTACAGCGAGGTACCAGAACTAAAAACCCACCCTTTCTCTCATGAGAAATTTCATCATAGATCTGTAGCTTCTTAATCCATCATAAATCACAATCACTTTGATCCGTTCTGTTTCGAGTGCAGCTTTCACTTCTTTTCCGGGATCACGACGATCTGCTGGAAGAGCTAGCGAAGTTCAGACCCCTTCCTACCCCAAGCACAGTTTATAGCCACAGCTCAGTCTGGCTGCTCTTCTTCCTAATGCCCCTCCTTGTCCTAAGCATTCTCCTCAAGTGCTTCCTTCTTCAACAGCCAGTTGCAAGCTGAAAAAGATCAAGCGTGCAATGTCATGTGATATCTCTGTTAAAAGCCAAAGCGTCTTTGTGGCGATGTCTCGCTGTTTATATTGGAGATATCTCCGTGTACTGATGCAAGGAAGTAGCCTCTTAGCTTGGAAGAGCGCCAATACATGGTAAAAACAGTATTGTTTTGACTTGCTGAAAAAGAAAAATCACTATTCAGGAAATGAGATGAATTGCCCAGCAAATGATGAAGTTGAGGGGGCATGTATAGCCTGAATGAGATAGGGCCCAAGAAGGATGAACTTGATCGGTATGGTCTTACTAGTTCATTCAATTCCCTAGGATACCCTTTATCTATACGAAGAAGCCAGGACGAAAGTGTAAGCAAGTTTAGTGTGACGTGCTTTATCTAAAACAGGATTAGGGATCATTTTGATTTAGGACGAAAGTTTCTCATAAAAAGTTTAGATATGACAAAAAAAGGCCTAATTTTGATTTGTAACAATGGCAGGTAGATGAAAAATCTGGAAAGACCATTAATAAATCGACGAGGCCATCCTGCCTATCCAGTTCAGAACGTGCTACTACGCTTGCATGAGTTGACCGATCTAGTTACAGATCACTGTGCCATTGTTATGCCATTTTTTTAATGTCAAATTTCAGAAACAATGACCTCTTGAATACACAAAAGGTTACAAGAATTGTGACTTGAAAATGATACTGAAAGGTCTGATGAAAAAGGCTTTTGTATCATTGCATTTCCTATTATTTTTACCAAGACATAACTACAAAAGGTAATTGTCAAAGGTTTTGGAGACCTTATGTATAAGCAAAAGGGCAACAAAAAAAGAATGGCACCGATAAACTACCACCATAAATAATCAGCAAGATATGTATAAACTACCACCAGAAATGACCAAGAAGATATGTACAATAGTGTGAAGCAAATGATCACCAAAACACTGGAAACTACAGCAAAATTTGCACACTTTGCAACCTAACTAGACAAGGCACTGTACATGGGATTCTTCACATCATCTGGGACCAGAAAGCCTCACAGCTGAAAGCAGAGCATCACTGTTGTAGTCCGACATCCCTGATGAAGTCCCCTCCTCGCTGCTCGATTTGAAGGCGTTTGCGTAGAGCCTGTACCCGATCTGCGACGACACCGGTGGCTGGAGCACCTCGCAGACGCCTTCGAGCATCTGCACAACCTTTGACATGGATGGTCTCTGGTAGAAATCATCCTGGATGCACCAGAGCGCGACCTTGATCGCGGTCTCGACCCGCCCATCCTTGTCATTGTACTTCAGCTTGGCGTCGAAGATGTCCTGAAGATCGCCTTCCTCCAGCTTCTTGAATGCAAAGGAAGGGAAGTGAGCCTTCTCGGAGATCTCCGAGGGATCGTAGCTCTTCCTCCCACCGATTATCTCAAGCAAAACCATGCCGTAGCTGTACACATCACTCTTCTCTGAGATGGCATAGTTGGTGAGCCACTCAGGTGCAAGGTACCCGCGCGTGCCTCTGAGCGTAGTGAAAACATGGCTCTGCTCCCTGGTCATCAACTTGGCAAGGCCAAAATCAGATACCTTTGCGATGAAGTTGTCGTCAAGTAGAACATTCTCAGGCTTAATGTCACAGTGTACAATCTTCGAATCGCAGTCCTGATGGAGGTATGCCAATCCCTTTGCCGTTCCAAGCGCAATGTTAAACCTTGTATCCCAGTCGAGCAGGTGATCATCTTCTTTAGAATGGAAAATCCACTTATCCAGCGACCCATTCGCCATGTACTCGTAGGCAAGAAGCCTGTGTGGTCCCTCAGTACAAAAGCCTCGGAGTTTGACAAGATGGATGTGGTGGATACTACCAATGATCGTTACCTCAGAGCGGAACTCTTTCTTTCCTTGGCCTATGCCCTCCAGCTTCTTCACAGCAATACGACTGCCGTCTGGGAGTGTACCAAGATACACAGATCCAAACCCTCCCTGACCAAGCTTGTTACAGAAGTTGCTTGTCGCATCCTGGAGCTCCCTGTAAGTGAACCGCACTGGTGCTCCGGATATTGTTTGCAGAAATCCATCATCTTCCGATGAACCAGCGTCGTCTTGTGATGGTGGAGGATGCCTCTTCCTCTTGTAGATCCAGAAACCAATATAAATAAGGACGCCTATGATAGCCAAAGTTCCGAGCATAATGACAATAATAATGGTATTGTGCTTCCCACTGCCACTATCACTCCCACCTTTTCCTCTGCTTGATACCTTGATAAAAGATGCGAAACGAGTTGTATTCCCACCTTTGTGCTGCAAGCTTCCGATCTGGTTGAAAAGGAAACAATTGCCTGAAGATTGATCAAAGAACACAGCAACACAAGAGCAGTTGCCTGTACAGGCACTCTTACAACCCGTAAGGTTCGTCTTAGCCGCAGGAGGGAAGAAGTTAGTGCCTACATATCCAACTCCACTATCCAGTTGAACCAGCGGAAACTCCTCGTTCGATTTGCATGCTGATGTAACACCAGGATTGCAGTTTGCAAACGAGCCGAGGGCCAAAGGGCATTGGCAACCTGTCCCACTACTGCAAATGGTGTAAGGACTGCAGTAGGCTGGCATGTCACAAGAGTCTGCCGGAACTGTGATCGAGAATTTACTCTTGCCATTTCCACCCTGCAGCATATAGAAAGCTATCAATCCATCACTACCAAGGACAGCAGACAATGTGGCATTGGCATTTTCTTGCGCGATGACAAGTTGTGATAGAAGGGACCCTGATTGATCATAGAAGGACCAAGAAGCTGAACTGAGGTTTGCAGAGTAGATGCTGTCACCGTTCTTGTTGACAATTATCCTGCTATCCTGCTGTGCAGACCAGTATGGTTGAGGTGTCTCGAAGCCGGCGTATAACATCATGTTCCCAGATTTGATCTGAAGTGTATAGGTCATGTTCTGTACTGTGTTGGACTTGCTCATCAGCGTCATCCCTTCGATGAAATTCTGACCAGACAGAAGAGTGTCTGTCGGATGGCTGAAACTTTGCCAGAGAGGAGAAGAGGCATCTTTCCCAAGCACTACAAGATTGCCAGAGTCCAGTAGTTGCATAGAGGTGGCAGTCCCTTTCCCGGAGATATTGGCAGCCCATACATTGGAGCCTCCTCCTGACTGCAGGAAGGCATTGCCATCCTTGTCGAAAAAAAAGTCATCTGAATGGGTGACAGGAGAGTTAGGATTGGCAGACCAGACTGTGGTAGTAGTGGCCATGTGAACCACTGCAAGAATGTAGAACGTGTTGTCTGAGACATTGCTCGTGACAAAACCAAAGCCAAAGACAGAGCCATTAGAAAGCAGAAATATCCCATCGTTATCAATGTAATCCATTTGCGCGGCAGTGAACCCTGGAAAGAGAACTTGCTTCTGGATACTGCCACGACATGTTATCAATAGGCTAGCTACCGAAATCATCCACAGCATAACAAGGTATGTTGGACTGCTGCGACGATTGCCATGAGCTTCCATGTGCACACAATTTAAGTTTTCCCAACGAACAACCTTCAGTAACCATCCACACATTTGCATAATCTGCAGTGCACAGAATGAAGATTGTTAGAAGCTCTGTTTGGAGAGAAATATCAGACCATAGGCAGAATAAATATAGCTGAGGAGCATACTACAAAATTTATTCAGAAAATTTTGCTAAGTAACTTGATTCTAAATTGCACTGGCAAGCATGCAAGAATCTTATGAGGGGTCTCAAACAGGTTGTTCATGATAGCTACAAATAGAGGATATTCAGAGATGCCTGGTTTTTTCAATGCCTGACAGTAACAGTAGGTTCAAATTAGTGGTGTCAGATTACATGTGAACATGCAGGTGGGCTGCTGGACAAACAACAGTGACTAAGATGATGTCTCAGTTCAGATTTACAAGGATGTTTGAACCTTCAAGAAGGCTTGAACAAGATATGATGATTAATGATATCGATCGATAGCAAGAAACAATTGGTAAACGGAAACCAGTATACTACCTGAATTGGGAACAGTTCCTGATAGAGCTTTCTATTGGTTTCTTGAGCTCCTCTATAAACATTTGATAGCTCCTCCACCGTCTTATCCAGGTTACCTTCAGAAACATGAGAAATGAATGAGTTGCAAGATAAAAAGGCATATATATAAAAAAGAAAAAGAAAAAGGGATTTCTCTCAAAAAGAAATCAGCAAAAGGAATTGATCAGCCCGTGAGCAACCGAATTGCCAGCACCAAGTGTCAAAACAAACAAACTAGAAAGTGGTGGCACAAGTTCCTTTTGACCAACAGCAAAAGGTAAACCACATCCTGCAGAGAAAAACAACCACTTGATCATGGCCAGAGACCATCAGAGCATTATCCACTGCCAAAAGAACAATCTTTGCTTGCACATATGCAGTAACACCTAACATTAAATCGATGGTCAATTCTTCCTTTCTGTTCCCCTTTTCAGTTTCACTTTCAGCTAAACAGGGTCACAAATTCAGACCTGTTTGTTTCTTTATTTCACTCCCTTTATTCTTTTCTTCAAACCCAGACCCATAATTAATCTGAACTGAACTGCCGTGTTTAGGCTCCCTTAGAAGAGAATTCCGGACATCTAAAGATAAAACATAGCCATGGCAGAGGCATCTACATTTTGCATTACAAAGGGGATTCCATTACCTAGTAAAAAGCTACAGAGGGAATTCAGAGTTCCAGACCAGCCAACCAAACAAGAGCTGGATAACCTAGAATTTAACAAGAACCTCATCTTTTTCTTGCTCAATTGGAGCCTAACATTACAAAACTCCACTGCAAGGCACACTCGTAATCCGATTCTCCAGAACAAGAATAACAATCGCCCGGAACAAGAACCAAGAAAGCCCCCCTTTCGCCCACAAAACACACAAATACAGAAGCACACAAATCAAAACGAGCTAGCAAAGAAAGATCCAAGAAAGGAAAATTAAAAACGCAAAAAGAAACAAAGAAACAGCAAGAACACAGGAGCTAGCTAGCTAGCTAGCTAGAACGAGCGATGTAATCGGGGAGGCTCACCTGGAAAGGGTAGACGCGGCGCGACGCAACGCTACGAAGGCGAGATGAGACGACGGCTGAGAAAAAAGATGTTGGGTGGATGGATTTGGGTAGGAGAAAGAGAGGAGGAGAAGATAGAGTAGTACACTAGACTAGCCGAGCAGAGGCAGAGACAGGAGGAGGCAGGGTGACGAAATGGTGGGAGAGGAGAGAGTAGCAGTTTGGTGAGCAGCAAGAGGGCAGTAGGAATTAAAACGAGCAACAACCTACCTGCAAGTGGTATTGGAATTCTTCATTTTTCAATGGGTACCATCCTTCTCTCTCCACCTCTCAACCAGGGAGATTATTCATCCCTCTACCTAAAAATATACTGTACTTAACTACAAGACGCGTAAAAATAAATACTTTCTCCGTCCTACAATACTTGTCGCTTTGAGTTTTTTTTAACTTTTAATCTTTCGTCTTATTCAAAAATTATAGAATTAATAGAGTAAATTACACCCATGATGTATCAACTTAGTAGGTGGGTGCAATTTGGTGCAAGAACTTGAGAAACGAGCATTCTAGTGCATCAACTTCGCAGGTATGTGCAGTTTAGCTAAAAAATTTTATAAGTGATTGTATAAATGCAACAACTTGTAAGATACGTACGATTTTGATACAATAAGATAAGAAGTTATGCGACAACTTAATTATTTGGAGCACTTTTTATACATATTCAATTTTTAAGTTCTTATTTTGACAATATACTAGCGTGGATTTGCATATAAGCATATTTATATTTTTATTCTAATAACTAATAACTAAAAGTCAATTAACTAGATGTAGAAATTATTATATTTCGGTTGAGATTTAGGAATGTGAAGAAAACAAAAATTCTTAAAGGTAATTGGTTGTAAATTGGATATGCAGTATAATTCTTAAAGATAAAATTCAATATTACAAGGTAATATCCGTATGATTGCTATGTAATGGCATATTGATATCGTGAGAAAAACTCACCTAGCATATGCTTAGCTTAGTTGATGCACTAAAATACTAAATTGTCAAGTTCTTGTACTAAAACGCGCCCACTTGTCAAGTTGTTGCACTCGAACGTTCAATTCTCAAGTTCTTGCACTATATCGCACCCACCTATCAAGTTGTTATACTGTGGGTGCAATTTACTCGAATTAATATTTGTTTTGTTTATGATTTGCTTTATTATTAAAAGCACTTTAAGTATGACTTCTCTATTTTTATATTTGCACTAATTTTTTATATAAGACGAATGGTCAAACGTTATAAGAAAAAAGTGAAAGCGACTACTAATTTAAAATGGAGGTAGTAAAAGTTATTATTATTACCTTACCGTTTAGATCATATCATACTTAAAAAAATACAATACAGACACTAAATAGAACCAGAGATCTCATGGTGTAGAATTTTGAAAGGAATTTAGTAGAGTTGTGCTAGTTAAGTGTGCATTTACGCTTTACATTATCAAATTGCGTCCTGTATTTTTTTAAAAAAGAATAGTTTATTTATTACTAATATTATACAACTACCTTCATTCTAAAATATAAAATGTTTGTTAAATACGGGATTATAAAAATGGTGAAATTGAAAGGTTGTGATTGATTGGGAGGAGAGTGTAATTTCGAGATAAAATTTGAAGCATAGAAGTTATATTTTGGGACGCTGAGTATAATAATTAGTAGTAGTACTGGAGTATTTGTTTAGCGTGTACGGCCACACTGTGAGCAACAGAGAGATCGCAAAAGATGGAGAAATTTATATATGCATTAAAAAATGGATACGGCCACGCTACGTCTATGTTGATGCTGCGAATTGTTTATAGCACGGAGTGTTCGTGATGTGTTCGTGCATTAATTAATTTTTGCAGGCCTTCCTCCAGATCCCATGCTAGCTAATTAAACCCATGTTATGTACCGCGACTTCCTTTCAATTTTAATCGTCATCGATTGGAACTTCTACGCGAACTCCGCATATATCTTTTAAGAAATGATGATGATACTATATGTACAGTGGTATAATCGTAAGACCTTTTCTACGGCGGTGATTTTACCCATGTAATTTTTTTTCTTCGGATATGCCCATTAATTAGTACGAATCTTTCAGCTTATTTATATTTTTTCTTATAATAAAGTGTTTTCACGTTATTATTTTTAAAACTTCAAAACAGGCAAGCATTAGTGCTGTGGTACTGTACAGTCGTGTGATTATCACTCAACTGACAAGCAATTGAGTTCGGGCAAACATAAATATCCATACATACGTGAGTACGTATTTAACAGGAACTTAATAAGAAGACTAGCTATATTTATATTATGATGTCACATTTTCTTAAAAACTTCGTCAAATCATTTTTACACTATAAATTACCTATATTTACATTATAATTACACTGTAAATTTTAAAAATTACAACATAATTGCACAATAAATAGTTGAATTGTTTTTTTCTAATACACACTATATAAGTGATGATGAACTAGGTACCGATCTTCCGATAGTTATTGATAATTATCGATTTGGCGAAAATTTGACACACATGATCTGGCTTCCGATTAACAAGATTTGAGTCCTACAATCGTAGCGCCACATCTTCTCAAGTTATTAACCGTGTAATGCCCGGTTAACCTCACCGAGAAAGCTAATCCCTACATGCAAATCGAAAAATACAAGCAAGAATAAGGTAGTTTGCAACTCAATTGCATATGAATGATTACACACTCGAATTTGGGATTTCACAAACCGAATAGCGATGAAACTGCAATTGTAAAAATAATTTAAGTGAAACCTGACACTAAACTATAATGGCTACTGAATAAATATGATTAGGGAAGTCCTAGAGTTAGTCCTAAGGCACCACCCCATTGGGTTTAGTCCACGAAACAATTACAAGGTCTAAGATCCAGATTAGACTCAGATTGGGTTACGTGGATTGTTTTATAGATTCCCGGTAGCTTGTAGGTATTTTTACTTGGGACCAAAACTCTGAAAGTAGACTCCACAAACTTTCCAACAAATACTCATGAGCTCTGATATTCCTTCTAAATTAACGTCTAGCTTCGTTTGAAATTGATGTTGTTAGGAGGTTCGAATCCAAATCCAAAATATGTAGAACTTTATATCTATTGACAAAAAGTGACATGGTAATGTTATATCTTGCCTTCTATCTGGTTTGGTCCTCAATCAACTTTGTTCAAATATATAACACAAAAATCTCACATATGAAACATGCACTTTTGGTTGATAAATACATAAGATAAGATAGTCATAGTCATGATAATAAATACATAAGGTATCAATGTTCATATTCGAGCTAGTGATGTCCTCATACATGCATCCGTAATGGTGTGTGCATGTGTATTCTTTTAATTAGAAAAATATTTAGAACATTATGAGTTATTTTTCTTGATTCATGGAAATCCCAAAAGTGTTTAGTTTCTATAAGGGCATAATAGTATTTTGAAGAAAAATCTATCGGTTAACTAGCATATATGGATGAAAATGATAGAGAAGATATGAATATTATTTCTTTTTGTGTTGGGGGGGGTATCCGATGAAAACTATCGAATAGGTGAAAACTCGTGAAAATCATACCTAAAAGTTTTGTAAATTTATAAAACATTACTAGAGGTGCATACATGAAATACATTCTCACCAAATATCAAATTCATACTCAACTTTATTTGAGAGTAAGATACTATCCACCCAAAATTTATCTTTTCTCTTCCTCGATTTGGATTTGAGATTTGGTATAAATATATTTCATGTCAGTATCTATCTCTAAGTAAAATTTCATGAATATAGAGAAATTTTATGCATAGGTTTTAGGGGTTTTTACTTATTTGACCAATTGAGGGAACACCAGTAAAAGATTGAATTGTAAAGTTTTGAGGTCTCTAAAGAGAATTTGTTTTTGAAGGAGGGAGCCGGATAAAGAATAATTTATCTATTTAATAAGGTATTGTCTTACTTACATTTTCTTTATGTTATCTTAGATTTGATTAATGGCAGCGCATTTAAAGTTATTTTTTCTGTTTACATTATTGGCTTTTATTGCCTTCAATGTTCTTTGGTCATAAAACCTATTATTTAAAATTTATTTGGATGAATTTTTATACGTCGGAAGTAGAAATTATTTTAGCAACTAAATCTAGTCGTGCACATGTAAATTTTAAATCCTACTTGGATACTTTTAAACATGCCAGACTGAAGTTTAGACTTTATCATTACATGGATTCGAAAATCCCAACTAAAGATAACGAAACCAGAACTTATAAAATTAGTGCCGATTCATTAACTTCTCACTGACAATCAGTTACAAAATATTTTGCACTTAGCACAAATAGACGGTACTAAAGGACTGATACGAAAACACGCCCTATGTTCGCCCCGGATACGCACCTAGTCAAAATTTTCAAAACTTTGAGTATCAAAATCTATGCAAATATTCAGATCATTGGAATTATTTGTGTATGTTTGCATCAAAATACTTCTGTAAAAACTGTACATTTATTACATGTTTATAAAAATAAATAAATCCAAAACAGTATGCATGGGTCCAATACTCCAAATGCATTTTGTAAACTCTGTCGATGAATGGATAAAATAGCTATAGTAAGCTCCAATTGCATTTTGTAGTAGTTACACTAGCATTATCTGTTGTATAAAATTAAGTTATGGAAAAAAAAACAATACTCCCTCCGTCCCATTTTAAATACGAATGCAGGTTTCTATGTCCAACGTTTGATCGTTCGTCTTACTTGAAATTTTTAGATTAGTATTTTTTATTGTTATTAGATGATAACATATGAATAATGTTTTATGCGTGATTTATTTATTAAATTTTTTTATAAATTTTAAATGTTTGACACAGAAAAAATCCACGATTAAGTTTAAAATGAGACGGAGGTAGTATCAGAAAAGTACAGTACACCAGGCACTCATGTTTGGGAATCATGTGTATAGTTGGTAGTTTGGTACTGCAACTGCACAATAAAAACTGCAAGTAATCTGAGCCGTTCATATTTCAATACAACGCTCCACATTCATTGCTACAAAATATATAAACTAATATGTTTTTTCCATAGTAAAATGGTGCTACGTTGATACATTTGATCTGGATCCTAGCTTTCTCATCACAGCAACTGCACCGATCGATCCCTCGTGTTATTGTAGGTCCTGTTGGTTTGAGACGGTTAGAAAACGATAAGCGAACAAACGATAAA